TTTCTAGAAAGGTGTGGCTGGATTGGTAGAGCTTCTGTGTTGCGGACGTTACCGGTAGGAGATAGATTTGAACTTATTCCATTTACATTTGTGTTACTGTAGAAGGAACCAAACAGCTCGTTAGTTGACCGATTGACGAATTATAATTTATGTGGGCTTAAGGAATTCTTGGTGTAGTGTGTTGAGATTAGGCCGATAAGCTACACTTTTTGATAGCGAATAGCAAGAAAATAATGGAAATGAAATGCAACTAACATATATTTTTATACTGGATATACACATAATGGTTTGATAAATTTGTTGGGTATTACCAGCAATACCTAGGCACTTATACAAGATCCACCCCTATTATCTATTACATCTGTCCTGAAAAGAATGCGATTTTAGGGTGTATTCTTGGTTAAAGTGTCCAAAGTTTGACCAAATATATGACAAAAATATTAATGTTTTTGGCACCAAAGAGAGCATATCTCATATGAAATCTAATTATTAATGTCATAACTATTTATATCTTTAATATATAATTGGTCAAATCTGAGTGCTAGAATTGCATTTTTTTTGGATGGAGATAGTACCAATCTATACAACAGGGATAAAAGAAGCCACCACATTCACCGAGAGAGAATAGAAATTAGCAGATTAATCGAAAAAGAAAATAGTTTGGACCATTTTCTTAGGAACAAGAGGGGTCGAAACCCCTACAAATAGTTTGCACCACTGAATTTTATGATGATATAACAACTTACATTAAACCATCCCCTCAAAAAAACCTAGATTAAACCAAAGAATATAAGTCTAATATAATGAGCGCTTCACCGTCTATCTATTTCTAATATTTTATATACCTCCATCAGAACCAAACTGTAACGGTTCATATTGACTCTAAAGTGTGCGTCCATTGTAAAAAAGAACGTATCTAATGGGCAAGAATTACTAGCTCTACAGTAACTATAATTGTTAATCGCAGTTTTTTTTTCATCTTACAAACAAATAGCTTGACTCCATAAAATCCCACGTACCCTACTTTTTATTTTGCGTTCGATATGAGGATCCCGATAGAAATGGCACACGCCAGAAACACACAGCCACCACCAGTCCTTGCTCCTCACCGTTGCCATCCCTGCCGCATAGGGCCCCTCTCCTTCTTCCTCTTCGGTGCGTCTGCCGGTGCTAGGAAGGAGAGGGGACCCACGGCGTGACATCCACGGTTAATCGCACCCAGGGTTAACTGACATTCCTATTTTTATCTCTATTGTGTTGGTCTCTACCGAGGGGTCAGTGTGAGGATATTACAAGCAAACAGCAATCCAGCTTGGCTCTCATTTGCTAAACAAAAAGAAATAAAAGCTTGCCTCCCATATATGCTGGTGCACTGTTCTTCACCGGTGAGCCTGGATGGCCACCAGGGAGCATTTGAAGTTTCAAGTTTGCATACGCCAGGCGCCGGTATGGCCAGCCTGGCAGCGCACTGCACACTTTCGTGCACTCGTGTTCAGGCTCACAGGTCAAATTTAATTTACCGCTGCCGGAAAGAGGTTTTCGCTTGATACACAGTGAAGCTCAAGCGCACATGAATAGGGATCCTATTGAATTTTGGCCAGGGGAGTCAATGCTTTCAGACTGCAGCAAGGTAATCAGAGAATGACCCACCTGAGGGGGACTAGGAAGAACGGGGTCATGGATCTTTCTACTCCGTCCATCAAAACAAAATGTAATCCTGCGTTTAAAATCTTATCTCATAAAGAATGTAATTGTAGATTAATGGCCTCATTCGGCTTACTGAAACTTGGCTGAAAACACTGTTCTGACTAAATTGTTATGAGAGAAAAACACTGTTCCAGTAAAAAAAAATAAGCTAAATAGTGTGGATTATAGGGTAAGCCGAACGGGACCATTAGGTTAACCTTTTCTAACGAGACCCACCTATTAAAATGCCATTACTTTATCTATCCATGAGAAGGCAATGATTACTTTTCAATTTCTAGGTGTGGGGAGAATGATGGAGGAGGGATAAATATGTAATTTTACACTTACACTAATCCTATCTTGAAAAGCGAGATTTATATTCTTTCTAGGACAGAGACAGCAGTAGCTAGTGATTTCAAACTTCCAACAAGTAGTGATGACAAATGCATTTGACCATTTTCCGATGCAATGTTAGTACTCCAACACATAACTCATATATTCAGGTAAATCCCGTCACCCTCCTGAGTGCACTATTAACGCTATGTTAAGTATTTATTATTTCGATCCTCCATTGCAGTATTACACTTTTTTTTTGGTTCTACTATCTTTCATTTTTTTCGGTTTTTTTTTTTTTTGAGGAAAGGTTGTACTATCTTTCATGAGTATGCCAGCTTAGTATAGCGAAATAGAAAGAAAAACATGCACATGGGCTGAACCGGCCCAGTTCACGAGGGCCAGTTTCTGTACCACCCGGCCCACGCTGACGCGAGGCCGCTAATCCCCAGCGTGACGGCGTGGTCGCAGAACGGGTTGGGATCGGTTTCCGCGATGGCGATGATGAGGTCGGCGACGTTGGCCGCCGTCGCCATGAGCCGCATCACTGATCACCCTGTCCATCCGGATCTTCCGCACTTCCTTCTCCGCGTCCTTGCCGCCGCCGCCGTCCCTCAGCAGCCTCCTCTCCCGCCGCAGGCCCCGCCTGATCAATATAAGCGCATCATTCATTCTTTGTTGGATGTTACGACGAGGAGGTCTCTCGAAGGGGTAAGGGTCCAAAAGGACTTTGTTTACATGATTCCTCTTGTTAGGTGCGGTCTTCCGAACTTGCCCTTTGGGTGATAATCCGAGTATCGTACAATCGTCATCTTATTATTACAACGGAAGAAAAGAGCTATCAACCGGTATGGAAAATATAGACACGCTAAATAGACAACGAGTATAATAGGTTCTCTGTTTGACTTTCTATTAATTCTCTAATGCTTGTATGTAGCCATGATCAAACGTAAATATACTCATGTATACCGTTGTCATGCCTTTTAATAAATAAAGATCAAACATGAACATATTTATATTAATATAATAAAACAAAATTTTCATAATTAATAAAACATAATACGACTACACAAGGAAGCTTCACTGCCGTTCACATCCACAAGAAAGCAAAAGGATCTTCAATGATTACTAATATCCAAAGCTGCTGAAATTACTACTATCTGATAGAACAGCAATGGATGAAAGAGCCACTCAATTTTCAGACTATCTGACGGAAGTTTCATGTTCCATGCGAAAATACTCAGCACCTTTGCATGTCATCCTCCAGCAACGGATGCAGAGGAGCGCACGCCGTAGCAGCGATGGGATTTTGCCGCTATTGCTCGCTTGCCGCACGCGATCGGACCACGCCAGCGTCTGCTCGCAGCGAGACGTACAACGGTAGAAGGAGCCATATATAGGCTGCTGTGGGAGCACGAGCCACGGCCGTCGTCTCGTGAGGCGGCGGCAGCACTCTCTCTCCGCGTTAACTCTGATGTTTTTGCCTCGGTGGATGCGTACAGACGGCTGCAAACACAGGCGTTGTACGTGCCCTAAGTATACGGAGTACTCCTACAAACGAAGGGGAAAGGTATACTATCTCGCACATATCTGGACAAAGCTACTCTAGGCTCGTGTGTACACTGTCCTTTATTACCTGATGGTGACAGAGATCGATCAGGTGATCTGATCAGAGTAACATTTCCTTTTTCTTTGTTCCAAAGTAAGGGGCCATGATCACACATACATGCATCTATCTAGCTAGCTATATAATTAACCATTAATTTGTTACCGCGTGCCAGCTCACAACATGCTGATGAACCGGCCGAGAGATCAGCAGCAGCTAGGTACGGGGCATGCGTGATGTCGTGTTCATCGCTAAGTAGGGGCTGGATTAGTTTAGTTCGTTTGTGCGTCGGAAAGTGATCGCGATATATCGCTACAAGTACAATTGCCATCGATCTTTAAGCGTTGTTACGCCACCAGGTGAGCTAGCGACCACCTGTTGCAAACGTGTGTGTCCACGCGTCGGCTTTCTAGAATCCGATCCACAAAAAGTATGTCCTCCATGCAGTGTATTGGAGACACCAAGGATTAATAATTATACCTGTTAGCCATTCCGGCCGGGTAAACACTCGTCGCTTGCTGGAGTTGTTTACCGAGCAATGCGAGGTGTTGATATATACCACTCCTACGGCACTAATAATGTTGTTCTGTTTCAGATCTGCAGCACTCCTGCAAGAAGGTATAGTAGCTCAAATTGTTAATTAAGGAGCTAGATGTTAATTAATACGTAGGAGTAGCAAAGTTAGCAGTTTTTTTTATTTCATGTCTAAATGGGATAAACATTTTTCTTAATATTCTTCACTACTTACAAAACTAGAAGAAAAATACTCGATCGTCGCGTTGTTCTTAAAAATAAAGTCGTTATACTATTGTTGCAGCATGTATGTGAGAGATTTACGGGCAAAATTGAAGCTCATGTTACGTTGTTGCACCACCGGGCAAAAACTTGTTTCGGCGTCCGGGCGGCTCCATGGCGCTTTCGCGGCGACAAACACGCGGTAACTTCGGCGCACCACAGCGATCGAAGATTTACATTACCGTGCGTGAAGGCAGGGGCATTTCGGGAAATCCAACTCGACAGTAGAGGTAGCTAGTGGAGTATGGGATTCCACCGACAGCGACGCGGCCTTTGGCGATGGCCGATGGGCGAGGCGAGCGACAGAGGGAATAGCTCGAGAGCCCGCCCGGCCGCGCCGGTGCCGATATATACGCGGCAGCGGCTCACTCGCTCCTCCATGCCCGTCCTCACTCATTGCGGGACAGGCAGCATCATATCACGGCAAAGAAAGGCTAGCTGCTTGCTCTCCTGTGCTGTGCTCCCCCGCGCCGGCCGGCCAGCTCTAGTGTAGATACGAGCTAGCTACTAGCTGCCAAATTAAAGGGCAGCAGCACAAAAATCTCCAGGAAACCAGCAGCCGGCCGTTGGAGGCAAGGCAATGGAGGGCCCGCTCGGCTGGGGACGGCAGGAGGAGGTGGACGGGTGGAGGAAGGGCCCCTGGACCAGCCAGGAGGACAAGCTGCTCGTCGACCATGTCACGCAGCACGGCGAAGGGAGGTGGAACTCCGTCTCCAAGCTTGCAGGTACGATACTGTATCTGTCCAATACTGCCTGCTCTTAATAATACCTCGCCAAGTACGACCGAGCTCTTTTCACCAAACAGCAGGTTTGCTGCACAACTTGCAAATTATTCAGTCTCTGCAAGTTGCACGGCCGTCAAAAAAAAAACTGACGGTGGTGTACGGTATGCACCTACTTTAGGCTTGTGATTTTCCAGGATACCTTCAGGTGGAGCAACTTGCAGAGGATCTTCACGTGTCCCAGGATTCTACCATGCACGATCGATCGACTCCCTTCCCTTTGCTTGCCAACTTGCTGCTGCCACCGTTGCCGCGAGTGCCACGGCCTGTTCGCTTCGGTTGGGCTGGTTAAGTGAAAGATTCTACTTTGGTTTGTGTGAGAGAAAAACTCTTTGCTTTTCGGCGGAAATTTACGATCGTTCTGACAAAGCACACACCAAACGAACAGGCTTTGTATGATTGTACACTGGTGGATACAGAGAGTAAAACAGGATATCCATCTTCAGGATTAGCTAGTATCGTCTCCTGGGCGTACTAGATCACATTCGTTCCTCAAATTCTAATGCAAGCGTGCAACCTGAGGCAAATGGAGAAGCCTACTTTTGATGATAAGACTGAGACCGTTTCAAAAACCATCACTTTTACAAATCACAAACAGACGGCTTTTGAAATGAACTTCTCAAAAGCAAACTTCTCCCACAGTTCCCTTCTATTGATGCGTGCTTGTACTATGGAGTTGACTAGCTGAGCAGAAGCCGCGGAAGGCCATGAACTCGCACAAACAGGTCCAGAGTGCAGTGGCGGATGTAGTATAGGTGCATGGGGGTACAGCTGTACCCCCAAAAATTCTGTAGAAACACTAAGTATATGTACCTATAATATTTAATTACGTAAAACATTATCAAATAACAAATTCTTGAGCTCAAGTACTCATCTAAGATGATGGACTATAGCTCTTTCTTCTAAAGCCTGGGAATCCAAAGTTAACCTGTGCACAAACACAAGTATAAGATAAATACGAACGAGTTTTGCTAAAAAAAGATAAATATGGAAACGAATTAATTGGACAGTTTTTTTTTTTTGAAAAGTTGACTCTTTTTGCTTCCAAACCATCATTATAGTTTTAATTCGTGAAGTTTGAGTCTTGATTTTGTTTGATAATCTGACAATTTTTGGAAAGAAAAGTCATCTGTAGATTACTCGACAAATAAATAATTTTACTTTTGTAGAACATATTGTGGTATTAACAGAAACAATGATCTAGCATTTTTAATATATTACTCTATATACAAAGCACAAAAGATTTCTTGGTCTACCCTGAATCAGCAAGAAACTAATATGCTTATGAATACCTTGGCAATGACTATATCTGTATACTCCTAGATGAATGCTGGTTAATTGCATCCTTAGAGCATCGACCTCCAATAGTCTTTGTAAAATTTACTCTCTAAATCTAAATCATCATTTGGAGAGTTATTTTATGAAAAACGCTTTCTATATCTCTGTACACTCCGCCATCTTTTCTATAAATCATATGAAAGATATACCGTCTTTTGGAGTTGCTCTTAGTGAACTGCATCACTTAGATCGTTTATATCATTAGCGAATTGTGTCACTTAGTCCGTACCCCCATGACTGAAATACTGGATCCGCCACTGCCAGAGTGAATCATGATGTGAGAGTGAGTATATCTCCAGCAGTGATGTGCGACTTAGTTTAACCGGTTCACAGCCCAAGCTCCTCGTTAATACTATCATTGGATGCCTATATATCTCCATATGCTGATGAGTACAGGTGTACCTATCAGTCAATTTTCAAGAAAAAATAGAGCTAGAGTTGCCAGTCTTTTTATCAAAACCTTTTTGTTCCTTTTAGTTAGTTGGTTATATCATGACAGCCATCCCTTGCTTACCACTTAATAAATTAAGTTAGTGATTTACCATCACTTGTTGGCGCACATGGGTGATATATAGATTGAGCTATTCATCTAATAAGATCCCTCGATTCTCATTTTGGCCTTTTATGCTTAACTCAGGGCTCAAGAGAAGTGGCAGGAGCTGCAGGCTGCGGTGGGTCAACTACCTGAGACCAGATCTGAAACGGGGTAAGATCACACCCCAAGAGGAGAGCATCATAGTCCAGCTCCATGCTTTGTGGGGAAACAGGTACAGTAGATTAATTAATTAGCGCACCCATCATGTCAACTTTTTATTGTGTTATTCTGTACTGAACATGAAATAAACAAAGCTGTACCTGATGCACTAAAACTCTTTGGCATCTGTATTATACTGTAAGCAGGTGGTCGACGATCGCTCGCAGCCTCCCTGGCAGGACGGACAACGAGATCAAGAACTACTGGAGGACGCACTTCAAGAAGGGCAAGCCGTCCAAGAGCATCGAGCGCGCGAGAGCCCCGTTTCTCAAGCAGGGCCAAGAAATGATGCAGCAGCAGCAGCAGTCTCTAATTGGTCAGCTTGACGAGGACGGGGACCAGCGCCGCGGCATGTGCTGCACCGGCGCCACGGCCGACGACGACGAAGAACACCAAGAAAGTAGACAAATGACGTCCATCGCGACGAAGGACGACACGTAGCTGGCCCGGCGCGCCAGCCAGGGCTCGAGGACGCCCACGCGGGACAGGCACGCGAAGTGGTCGAAGAAGAAGTAGACCATCTCGCCGGCGTTGGCCAGCACGGCGAGCGCGCCGAACTCATCCCCCGGCGGCGGCGGGCCCCGGCGCAGCTCGTTGAACCCGGTCAGTAAGCGGCCCGACCGGAACGCCTTGCGGCTCAGCCCGGACGCCGTCTCCCAGCTCTTGGCGCGCTGGGCGAGCTCCGGGAGGGAGGACGACTCGGCGCCCCAGTGCGCCAGCTTGGACACGTACTGGAACGTCTTGACTAGCTTGTCGATGCCATCGCGCTTCGCCAGGAACACCACCAGCTTGTCGAGCGTGTCGCCGGTGCTCATGTCTGGCGCGCGACGCGATGGCTAGCTAGCTAGACGAGTAGACGCTGCCTGGGGCTTGACGAGAAGCACGACGACGCGTGCGCATACAAACATGGGTGAGGGCGTGAGGTGAGGCTGGAGTGGGAAAATGGGCGCGGAATGCTCCAGAACCAGAAGTGTTGTTTTCTGGTGGTGATGAGTATTGAGACTTTGAGAGGGGATGAGGAGCGGGGACTGTGGAGCCATGTAGCAGGAGAGCTCCCCTCATCTTTGTCTACTTTCTTGATTGGTGCCTGGCTTTGTTGCGAGCAAATGGAGCAAATGGAACGAATGGTAGCTGTGGCTGCAGAGTGCCCCTACGAGATGAAAAAAAAACAGGGCAAATGGAGCAACAAAACCTGCTACGGTAGCAGCCGCCAGCCAGATTCCAGAATCTGTAGGAAATTGGGATCTGCCTTTTCATGTCCAAAATGTTGCTCATCGTTCCCATAGTCCCGAGACTCCCATATGAAAAGTCCAACTTGAGGCCCTAGTAGCCACATTGGCAGTTTAAATGCCTTTAGCTGCCAAGAAGGTTCATTCTTCACCTCTGCTGCTCTGCAACATCTTGTTCAACGACACCTGTCGTCTTGATGATGATGGCATCATCCGCTGCAGGGGCGTATGGAAGGGAGTTTTCCCATGACAAATTCTTGGTGCATCGCAGCACAAGATTTTCAAAATGGTCTAATCGCAAGGGGTTCAAGTGAAGAAACCTTGGCAAATTAGTCTGCCCACTTTCATGAAAAACCTTCTCCATAGTAGGCTTCAGGGGAGAAATATGCTAGCTTAAAAACAAAATGTTTCAACTCAAGAAGAAAAATATTCTTGCATAAAATAAAAAACATGTTCCAACTTCTTGAAGAAAATATTTTAGCTTCACTAGAAAAATGTTACGACTCCATAATAAAATGTTCCAGCTTTAGGACCAAGAGAACTGCTCCAGTACTCCTTTTTTTAAAAAAAAATACATAGATCTCAAAGCAACTCATTAAATTAATTATCTTTCTCTTAATTATTTTCTCTTAGGTGCCGCATGGGTCCGGCTCGTCCAACCCAGCCCGATTTCAGCATGACCCAAGCCCTCTAGATCCCCTTTGTTCGGAGGGTTTCCGTTCGTTGAACGAGACGGCGGCGCCCATCCCCGAGGAGCCGTAGCCGGCGGGCTGACGAACCAAGAAACCGCAGCTAGCAGACCAAGCGGACTTGCAGCACCTCATCCACCTTCTCCTCCGATCACATTTACCAGCGAGCGTAATCTCAATTGAATCACGAGAAGATCCATGCTCATAGTTCCCAGGACAAAAACCATAAGTAATTCTCGTCATATTTCGCAGACGATCATGTCATAGTTGTTTATTCCCCTTTAACCCATTCACGATTATCAGTAGTAGAACCCAACATCCGACCAGGTGGCCAATCAACGTAACTGAATATCGTGTTGTCACTCTCTCTTCCCATGCTGAGACTAGCATATATTGAACCCGGCGGGCATCAGGAAGGTGCACCGCCGACAGGCGACGGCCCACCCGATCAAGCGGCACCACCGCACCACTGGGCACGTACGTGATGAACCGGGAGACTTCCGGCGGCGGCGGCTCAAGCGATGCATCCGGGCTGGACTCGGGCTGGGTTGAACGGGCTGCATGCACCCATGCGAGATCTAGGAGAAAATTAATTAGATGGTTGCTTTAAGATCTGTGCATTTTTTTTTAGAAAAGAGAGTATTTGAGCAGTTCTCTTGGACCAAAATATTTGTTTAAGATAAATTTATTCCAACTTCATGACAAAATATGTTCCAGCATCGCATAAATCTTTCCAACATCACAAGAAAAATGCTATAGATTCCGGAGAAAAGAACTCATGGCATATTTGTGTGAAATAAAAATATCATAAATTAATTGGAGCACAAATTAAAAAAGACCGATAACTGTTTTAACCTAGACCAGTGATAAAAAAAAAAGAAAAAAAGGCTTAACTACTGGATTTGCAAAAGTTAGGAATAATTATTAACTACAAGAGTTATAATAATCAATGTTGTAAATAGTGGGCTAGACATTTAGTAACCTCCTCCTTTTAAAGCTAAAAAACTATAGTGGAGACTATTTAATATAGCGGTTTATAGAAAACATGAAGATTCTTAACTAATTATGCACGAAAACATCTACCTAAAGAAAATCTCGTACATATAAATACTCAAATACATGTACAGGCTCTAGGAGAACATGTGTGTATGTTAATTTAACATTCACTAAATTAGTCAAAGTACTCACGTCTGTGATTAATATTCATGTTCATTCAAGACTCAATGGTTTAATAACTATTTAATAGTCATTAAGTAAAGAACATGATGGATATGAATATATTATACTCCTTTAGAGTAAGGATTGAATATTTGCCTCAATCATAATTAGTGGTACTAAAATATTTCATGGCTAAGCCAAATAGAAGTATTTAGCAGAGCTAAAGCATCATTAGCGGTAATAGTCTTGAAAAAGCTATAGTGGTGCAATATCGGGCTGTTCACAATAATGATAAAGCAAAAGATAAACAAAAGAAATAAGACAAAAGAAAGAAAAAAAGGAAAAAGAAACCGATAAAGAACCAACCAGTTTAACTTTTTCATGGGCCGCTCTCCTACCGAAGCATCGTAGTCATGCGTGTGCACCTGCAGGAAAAAAAATGATAAATGGGCCTGATATAGCCATGGAAGAATTGCTCTCCTGCCACTGCGAGCTGTTTTTCTTCCTCGCCCGTTCACCTCGCCTGGCCCGAGATTCGGCCGTTTTCTGCATCAACGGGGCCAGGCGGAGCAAAGGGACACGCCGGCCGCCGCCCTACTCCTAGCTGCCCCCGACTTCGTCGGACCCTTTGCCGGCGACGAGCACCCATCGCACTAGGTATGCTCCCCTCCCCTCCTGTGCAAAACTGAGCACCTGATCCCTAATTTAAGGCATCTGTATTCGGATCTGATCTAATCACAAGTGTAAGAGTATGTTGTATGCATGTATTATGCCAACCAACTTCGTCCTTTATTGGGTCCGCCCTTTGTGCAGATCTGCGAGTTTTTATTCTCGATTGAGTTAATTCTGTCATTATACCTAGGCAGTTTATGAACCTCAGCAGCCAAGGGATCAGAGATGGTGGTGTTTAGTCAGCTATCACACAGGTCCTGAATTTCTTGATGTGCAAATCGGGTGTTATGCTGGGTTGTGATTTCGTTGCTACAGCTGTTGTTTCTCAATTCTGTTGAGACTCAGTGTGGTTAAACTTGATTTATGTTTTTAGTACTGTAACCAACCTATCATATTCATTAGTGATTATTAGTACACTTAGGTAAAGGATTTCTACTAGCATCAGTTAATTCAACGTTTGCTAAAACCTATCAGTTACAGAAAATGTTGCAATTCTATGCATAACCTTATGATGCTTCGCCTGGCCCTTGAATATTATGTTATTGGAGTTACCTAGTTAGTCGTGCCGTACACTTGATGTTGAAACTCTAGTTTATTAGACAGTTCTTAATTTATTGCTGCGGAACCAAGGTGATCATCTCCAAAAGGGATTGCATGTTTTGTCCATCCGTAAGTCCTTGAGCATTGGCTTTAGACCTTCAATGTTGTTCTTGAAGGCGTCTTACCAATAGGGAGGTACAAAGCCTAGCTGGTATGTTCATGTTGTTTAGAGAACAAACACAAGATGACAAAAGCTGAACTTGGAGTTCAATTCTGTAGAGCCAATTTATTAACAAAAACTTATTAAAACATTTACTGAAACAAGGCAGTATGAATTTGCCTACTGTACTAAGTTTAAGTTCTTTATTGTGCCATTACTTTTGAATCTATGACCCACTGGTCACAGACACTGATACCTTGATTCCCATCCACCAAGTGTTTATGTTGGATACAAAGGCAATCAAATACTAAGACAACCATTACATCTAAATTTTGTTTTAGCTTTACTGTTCTTAACCAGACATGAAGTTGGATTACTGTTATATCTGAATTTTGAGTTTCTCTTGACTTAATTAGAGATGCTAATTTGTTTCACTTCTTTTGTGGTTTTGGAGACAGATTGACATCCTATACCATGGCCTCTCAGCTTTGTTCACAAATAAAGTTAAGCAAAGTACTTGTTAGGAGGAGGTTTCATGAGAGTGGACAGACCAATTTGCCAAGGTCTCTTCACTGGAAACCCTTGCGATCAGGCCATTTTGAAAATCTTGTGCTGCGATGCACCAAGAATTTGTCATGGGAAACCTCTCTTCCATATGCCTCTGCAGGCGATGATGGCAGTATCATCAAGGGAACAGGTGTTGTTGAACGTATTGATACAGAAGAAGCTCCACAGATTCCAATCCTCCGGAGTGATGAAGATGTTGTAGAGGTGAATAATGAACCTTCTTGGCAGCTAAAGGCATTTAAACTGCCAATGTGGCTACTAGGGCCTTCAGTTCTGTTGGTTACGGGTATAGTTCCAACTTTATGGCTGCCATTGTCTTCAGTGTTTCATGGTGCCAACATTGCTGGCCTTCTATCTCTAGTTGGACTTGACTTCATTTTTAATATGGGAGCGATGCTATTTTTCCTTATGGCCGATGCTTGCGGCCGTCAAGAAGAGAACAATATTTTGAACCTGAAAAGGCAGATCCCAATTTCCTACAGGTTCTGGAATCTGGCTGCTACCATAGTAGGCTGTATTGCTCCATTTGCCCTGTTTTTTGCATCCCGTAGGGGCACTCTGCAGCCACAACTACCATTCATTCCATTTGCAGTGCTGCTTGGACCATATCTTTTACTCCTGTCTGTACAGATGTTGACTGAGATGCTTACATGGCATTGGAAATCACCGGTATGGTTGGTAGCTCCAGTGGTTTATGAAGGCTATCGAGTACTACAGCTGATGAGGGGTCTCCAGTTAGCTGAAGAAATCAGTGCGCCTGGCTGGATGGTGCAAAGTCTTCGTGGCCTGGTATCCTGGTGGGTACTCGTCCTTGGAGTCCAATTGATGCGTGTTGCCTGGTTTGCTGGACTCAGTTTTGCTAGAAATTCAAGGTATGGAGAAAGTGATGATATGAACCAGTAAGTCATACAAGAAAAACTTGAGGTGTCTTCTTTTTGGGGGGCTCATGGTACTTCAACCTGCTACAATGCTCTTCATGTTGACGGTGGTGCGATTTTAGTTGCTGGACGTTCAGAAAGGACGAACATCCTTGAGAACCCACAATGCTTGGGCAATCGTTTTGTAAGTGTTTTTTTTTTGTTCTTTTTTTGCCTGTGGTAAATAGTGCAGCTGCTCCTATGCTGGAGCAGGAACCAGGCTGCTAGATACTTCATACTTTGAACTGTGTAATTATCGTAGTATATATATACAGGAACATGACCATTTGATTGAGCATCATACTAAACACAGCAACATCACTGTGCACGTTCCTTGAATATACTAGTACTGTATACCCTTTACATCGCCCAGATGGCATTCCCCTTTTGGGAGTAAAGGTTCCATTCCTATGTTTGCCAAAATGTCAACAGAATCAGCTGCTTTTGGCTTCTTTTTTTTCCTGCCGCGATACTGCATCTTCAGTCTCCTCATTGTGAGGTGATAGTCGTGCAGGCTAATCAAGCTAAGCAAAGTTTAGCAAGTCACGTTTCCTCTGCGTAATCTTTGTTGATACGGATGTAACACCATATCATGTGGCAAACACGACAAACCGACCTGATGTATCTTGAGACTAGTATTTCCTCACTCCTAAATTACAAGACGTTTGACTTTTTTGACGTGATCACTCGTCTTATTCAAAAATTTATACAAAATATCACTTCTTTTGTCGTGGCTTGCTTTATTAATAAAAGTTCTTCAAGAATGACTTAAATTTGACTATGTTTGCATAATTTTTTTTTGAATAAGACAAGTGGTCAAACTTGGAGTAAAAAAAGTCAAACGTCTTATAATTTGGGATGGAGGAGTATATGATACCTTACGCCATGCCTACTAGGTCAAAAGTTCAAATCTACAGGCCATGTTCGCTTCGCTGAAAAGTCATGGCTGAAAGTACTGTTCGCTGATTTGTTGTGAGAGAAAAACACCGTTCCTTCGCTGAAACAACCGGCTCATAACACAAGCCAACAGGGCCACAGCCATCGAATCTCTCTGTATTTTTTAAAAAAAAGATTTCCACGATGTTCCAACGTCTAAAATGGCCCTGTTCGGCTTACCCAGAAACCGACTTGTTCGGCTTCTTTTTTCAGCCGGAACAATGTTTTTCTCTCACAATAATTCAGCCAGTTTCAGCCAAAATTCAATAAACCGAACGGGGCCATGAGTGAACTCCACGTTTGAACGGCCAAGTCAAATGATGAGTTGGGACAAAGACAAGGAGTGACGTCAAAATGAATTTCAAATACCAATTCCATGTCTTGTTTGGAGCGCAGACACTGGACAGTTTGATTGTATGAAATTCGTGGTTACTGGTTAAAAGAAAACGGTAATTCTACACCTCACTCGGAGTGTTGGAACACTCAATTCCACCTCTTCTCCATCTCTGGCCTCTCCCTTTCTTTTCCATCTCCGACGGGTTTAGAAGAGATTTTTGGAGAGACAGGAGTGGGGGCGGGAGAGACCGTGGTGAGGCGGAGAGGCGGCTGGCCAGGTTAGAGCGGGGGGTGGCCATGGCCATGGCCATGATGGCGGTGGAGGAGGTTGCCACAGGTGTGGTAGGGTCTCTCTGGAGCTCCGCAGTACCGCGCCGCGACGTGGTGGTGGACAACAACGGTGCATTGAGAGGAGGATGAAGGTGCGAAGAACAAAAGTCGAAGTGTTCTGGGCATCAGAAACACTTGAGTGTTCTATAGACGACTAAAAAATAGCCAAAATGACACCTAGAATTGCATTGCAAATTGCAACACGTTATTGCTCTTTAGAGCATTCACCTACCAAACTTTTTTTTGCCGTTTTCTAGAGAAAGGAAACGCGGCGGTAAAGGCATGGGTCTTTTTAAACCCAGATCGTGCTTTCGCCTCAAATGGCGCAAATCGCCTCGCCTCCCGAGTCCCACATGCCCCTGACAGATTGAGGTCGATCAACCCAATGCCCTTGCCTCTTTCCGCTCTTCCTAGTTCCAACCAACTCCCGTTGTCTACGGCGATTTCAAATTAAGCCTTTTAACTGCGTGCCATCACGAAAGATGCTCCAGGTCTACAGGCTACTAAAAAGTTCGAACGCACCTATGTGCCATGACACTTTACTTTTTTTTTTTTGCCTCCCAAGCCATTCCGTCCGCCTTCTGTTTGATTTCTGCCGTTTGCCAGCCCTGACATGTGGGCCCGACCTATGATGATGTCCAAAATACCCTTCTTTCATAACTCTATCCTCTCCCTTCTTTCTCTCTCTATTTCGTGGGGCCAAACTGTCACCTTCTTCCTCCTCAAGAAGAGCATGAGGGGACCGAGGGTGGTCGGGGAGCTCATGCACGCCGGTGGTGGTGGTGGCGCCAGAGAGGTCTTGCTGGGGCTAGGGCCCGCACGACGAAAGCAGTGTCTTGTGAGGGAACCGCGTCGTGGAACAGGGCCACCCGCAGGCATCTCGGAGCCGGGAGGCGCGTCATGTCATGGGTGGAGGGCCACGGCCATGGTGGCAAACCTCGAGATCCAGCCAGGGCAGGGCGGAGGAGGGCTGGGATCGGGAGCTCGCCCACGCACCGGTCAGGGGAGCTCGGCCACCTGGCCATGCTCGAAAGGAGCTCCATGAGCCATGCGAGGAAGACGGTGGCAAGCTTCTGGCCGAGAGCCGCACAAGCCACGACCACCGCCACCCGCGCCTGTATCCCATGATTTAACCACGCCATGAAAGCAGCCAGCAGGCGCCCGACTTCACGAACGACAGCTGCGGAGGCCACCGCCGCCGCCCCGCGCCTCGTCCGATGGTGCTCCGTCGTCTCGCGTCTCAAATCACACCGCCGACTCCTCGTCCTCCTCGGCGCCGCTTGTCGCTGGGGCCGACTTGCACGTGGATCCGGCCACGCCGTGGCCCGAGCCAACCATGGATGCGGTCGTCAGCCAGCCAGGCCATTGGGCCGCCCAGTGGATGGGGCCGCGGCTGTTTCCGCGGTGGCGGCGCTACTCGATTCCGCCAACGCCGGTGATTTGAGATCACCGCGAAGCGGCGGCAGTGTGGCAGCGCTTAGCGCAGGAGCCGCCGAGGCCGATCGTTACTCGACGACAATGGCGTCGTGGCACCTGGTGGCGGTCGTGGGCGCGGCGTGGTGGGGTGGCGGCGCCGTGCGCGCTGCGCGTTCGCCAGCGGTGACGGCGCCAAGGTGTGGAGTCCAGGAGAGTCGCACGGTGTCCTACGCGGCATCATCCGTGGCTTGTCGAGGTCGATCGCGGCGCGCTAGCATCCGCGCCAGGGAACACACTCGACTAACACCCGCACCACGCACCTCTCGCCGTCGGCGAACTCCACCACGAATCAGTGTTTCGTCGAGCCACTACCGCCGCCGACGGTGAGCGCGAACGGTGGGCGGATTGATTTCAGCGAAGCGCGACGGGTGGCGGACTCGTCAAGCCCTTGAAGTAGGCGCCCGGCTCAGGAGCGGAACGCCGAGGGCGGGACGAGCTCGACCGGGGTGCAGGAGACCGTGGCTATGACGAGCTCCGCCAGGCACAGGAGACGGCGGTCGCGGTGAGCTCAGCTAGGGTGCATGAGGCGGCAGCCGGGGCGAGCAGGCGTGCTCTGTCGGGGCGCTCGACGAGGCAACCACGGTGCATGCAGTCGCGAAGCGCGCGGGCGCTCTTTTGACTCGGCCGTGAGCTGCCGGCCACCGCCTTCTCAACCACCGTCGCAGATGCACGAGGTGCTGTCGCAGATGAACGAAGAAGCGCACGGTGAAGAAGTGAGGTGAGGATATTTGTGACTTTTTACGGCGCATATTGACACTGTTAGATGGAAAAATAGATGGAATGGTTTGTTTGAAAAAGAGAGAGTAAAGTGTCCTGGCGTATAGGTACGTTCGAATTCCAAATTCGCATCTGCTGCGGCTCCACTCCACCCCAGGCTCTTTCCCTGCTCCTGTGGCGAGCCGCGAGCGCAAACCCGCCTCGCTTCCCAAACCCTAGTTCCTCGCTCGCCCGCGTGGCCTGCCAGGCTGCCACCCCCGGATCAAGTCCGTACAGCGCCCCGAGCGTGCGTCCCCTCTCCCGGAGTCCAGCGGCGGCGGGATGGGGTCTGACTCCAAGGACTTGCTCGAGATCGAGCCCCTCGAGCTCCGATTCCCATGTACGGTTCCTCCGCCGAATATTCCCTCGTGTCGTAGTTAGTTTAGTGTTTCCTGCACATGCTTTCGTGTTGTTTTCTGAGGCGGAATTTGGGCTGTTGCTGGTGTGCCTGCTCACAGATTCTCCCGCATGTTTTTTCCCCCTATTTAAGAATAACAATGTCGAGGGAATTTTGGCCTTGTTGTCGCGTTGATTTTCTCTCTCGTTGTTTTTTGCCCCAATCATCACGCAGTCGAGACAAAGAAGCAGATCTCGTGCTCTATGCAGTTGACGAACAGAACAGATGACTACATCGGCTTTAAGGTAAACTCGGTGTTCTGAAGCCACTTTTCCCACTCAGCTAGATTGCTTTGTCAAGGTCATAGAAGTCAGCAACTGCGTGAAACGTTGAGCAGTAATTGATGATCTGGGTGGATTTTGTGTCTGTTAGGTTAAGACGACGAGCCCGAAGAAGTACTGTGTCCGGCCGAACAGCGGCATTGTGCCACCTCGGTCCACCAGCGATGTCATTAGTAATTCCAACAACCATCTCCATCCCTAGTTCCCTCTACAAGTTCGTTTTACATGGGCCTCCCCCAGATTATTATCAAAACACTTGACGCCCTTTGCAATTTCTCAGTGACAATGCAAGCACAAAAGGAGGCACCACCAGACATGCAGTGCAAGGACAAGTTTCTTGTGCAAAGTGTCATTGTGGCGGAAGGGACGTTAGTCAAGGACATCACTGGAGATATGGTAAGTGTTGTAATCTCTGTGAAATTTTTTCCAGCAGATGTTTGTTTCCGAAATGCTTGAGGTTGTACCTTGTGTAGTTTACCAAAGAATCAGGTAATGTGGTGGATGAGGTTAAGCTGAAGGTTGTCTACGTCGCACCACCCAAACCGCCATCCCCAGTGCGTGAGGGATCTGAAGAAGGCTCGTCACCCCGAGCTTCAATGTCTGATGGAAGTAACTTGAATTATCAAGAGGTACGGCCTGCAAATGTTATTTGCTTGTTTCATTTCCTTGTTTGTCCATAAATAATTTTTCCCGTGATTGGTTGCTTTTTAGATGCAGACGAGGGAATCTGATGAGCCACTGTTTTCCATTAGTATCTTAACATTCATGCACATTTACAGATTACTTCTCTTCTCAGACTACTTTAAACTTATTCTGTGCTCATTGCTGGTTACAGGCTGTTAAAACTCACAAAGATCAAGAGGACTACACCTCCGAGGTGAGCTCCAGTAAAGACAATCTTAATGTATCCTCTGTGTGTGTTTCAATCAAATCTTAACGAAGCTTGCACTTGAATCTTCCATTGAAATTAATCTCAAGGTGCCTTGGGGGCTGGGGATAAAAACCTGTGCTTTTTTTTTAAGTGTCAATTGACTGGTTGACCACTACAATCAACAGGACCATTGCTAAGCTGATGGTACCTAAACATCACATATTTGGAATGAATGCAGCTATTATCTCTAGAATTTTGCAGTTCAAGTGTTTTACAACTATGAATTATAAATATTTGAGAGAGCCACACTTACACCTTGAAGTTAGGAGTGCGGGTTCAAATGCTAATGAGATATTGGGACTGACTTGGTAAATTTTGTGTGGCACGGTGGCACCTGTCAATGATTTTAGTATATATTATGTACCTTCATCAGATTTATAAAAAGAGACATTGAGCAGCTTAAGCCTCATCACATGGTGCGATAGAATTCTATCAAGAACCTGTATTGAAACCTGAAACCACTTTACAACAGGTTGATAGCAATTATCCAAAACTGATGATGTTCTCCTTTGTATTATTGGAAGTTTGGGATTTTGATTTAGATCCTTGTGCAAGGAGATACATAAGCTACTATTGACTATGTTTATGCTCTAGCCTACTCAGTCATTGTACATGTCAATATGTCATACCTGCACAAGATTGCAGCACTGTGCATCAACATCCATACAGTGGAGTTGGTTAAGTTTCCACGGTGCTGCTGTGTTGATTGATGTTTCTAGCTTCAGTTTATACTTATTGTCTATTTGTCATGCTCCTGTGTATATTTTGGCATGGCCCTTGTATGCATCCACCTCAGGATTGATATTAATTTATGCAATCTCCATTCCCATTGGTCCTTTGTAGTAGTGTGAACTATGAAGTTGTCTGATGTAGTTGGTCTCACAAAACATTAAGCGTTATTATATCTTAGCACTGTTGTTAACTCGTCTCACAAAGTAGTTAATGTGGTCCAGTTCAACATTTTAGTTGCATTTTGTGAATAAGGCACCTTATCCCTATTGTTCTCTGTGTAGACATCTGCTTTGATTTCAAAGTTGACAGAAGAGAGAAACTCTGCCATTCAGCAGAACAATGAGCTTCGAGAGGAACTGGTTAGTGCATACATTTTGCGCATGCTCTACTATTCCATTGGAGCAGATTATTTTTCCCCCGTAGTTGAGGTTCATTGCTATATGTGCATTTTTCCCTGGGAAACATTAGCTCTTTCCACTCCCACACATCTGACTATTTTGAATTTGAATACTATATTTTCATCAGGAACTCATCTCTAATCCTGTTTCCATCTCATTTTTTACACTTTACAATCATATGTATGAATCTATTTACATTTCTTTAGGTTCATAACTCAGTGCGTTCCACAAAGGTGATATCCATGATTTTCTAGGCTAACTTTTTATATTGCATCCATAACTAGCTCTGCATGCAGAAATATAATACATCTGTAACTAAAAAGTCTTGCTGAATCTCAATAGGACCTTTTGAGAAGGGAAGTCAGCAAGCAGAATGGTGGATTCTCCTTTGTGGTCGTGGTGGCCATTGCTCTCCTGGGAATGCTACTAGGATACATCATGAAGAGATAGATGAGCTCTTGTGACTCCGCGTCGTGTTAGACCGTTTCCCTCACAATATTGAATATTGTCTAATGCACTTATCATATGTACACTGCTATTCCGTAGCATATTCATCTGGTGTCTTGCGTAATTGCGTGCTTGGGATGGCTAGTCACCAGTCACCACACACAGGCTGTCGGGCAATAAGTCTGTCCTTAATCTTGTTTTAGCTGTTATGTTAGTGTGTGCAATTAAGAAACTGGGTAATTAATGATATCTTTTTGGTCGACCATTGAGACTAAATTCTTTCAGTCATCAAGGGTGTGATTGGTTTGTGTAACAGCCAAGCCTAGCCTGCTGTGAGAGCCAAACCCTCGGTGGACAGGTGCAGGCCGAGCGAACCCATCATTGCCATGTTTGGTTGCTTGACTTGGTTAGCCTGGCCAAGCAACATTGACGGGCCTGTTCGGCAGGACTGAAAAATAAGCTAAAATACTGTTTCGGCTGATTGTTGTGAGAGAAAAATTATGTGTCTGAAATCACTGTTCACGTAAACAGTGAACATGTGAGTGCGCTGGCCAGCTGGCCAGCCAGCCACCAGCCAGCCGAACGCGGCCGTCATGTTTGGTTGCTTCTTGCTTGTACTTCGTTAGCCCAGCCAAGTTTGGATAGTGTATGGTTGGTTGCAAACATATTGCATGAGATAAAAATAGATAAATAATCATCGCAATATTTGTTACGTGCAACTAATCTTCTATAGCTCTTAATCATCTTATTATTTGAAGCCTGTCTTGGAAAAAAAAACATGTCTGCCATTCTCGTTTCTGTGGAGCTAGGCTCAAGTACCTTTTGCACCTATTGAGCCAGGCCCAATTACTCGAGCAGGCAACAAAACGTGCTAAATGCTTATGGGCCTGATTGTTTGACTATCAGTACCATCCTATTTCATGCATATTTTATATGACTCTTTAGAATTCCACTATTGTTATTAGATATACGTGTATCCAAATTTTGGTCAAATATTGTATTAATGCAAGTCATAGTGGGTTGAAATATGAATGAGGTGGCACCCCCTTATTTTGCTCCAGCTAATCATGGAGTATATTGCTTCAAAATTATAGACACAGCTTATGGATTAGGAAGATTAAATGGCAAAGCATCTAATATGCTCTCGGAAAAATAACAACCAATCTCGATTGACAACAAATTGAGTAAGACAACAAATTACTCTCTCTGTTCCAAATTATAAGTCGCTTTGACTTTTTTGGTTCATCCATTTTGCTACGTATCTAGACATATTATTTATCTAGATGCATAGTAAAATAGATGTACCAAAAAAGTTAAAACGACTTATATTTGGAACGGAGGGAGTATAACGGAGTAACATAGCTCCAACAACAAAAGCAACAAAGAGCTGACAACTAAAAACAACAATGACTACACAAGACATTTTGCTATCATTGTAGGACTGATTGCTCTCCCTGGCAAGTGGCAACCCTGGATTCTTGATCCATGCATATGTGCTCTTGAGTGCACATGCTACGTAGGGGCACGGGCATGACGCTGTTTAAATTGTAGACAAAAAATATGACCAACCTAGGAGGAACATGGATATTTTTTTCCATTCTTAATCATTAAATTAATTAAGAAGAAAATAGGGAATTTGATCTCTCCATCCGCAATTTGATCTCTACATCTGCAATTTGATATAAGTTGGAAGAGGACTCGAACCAGGGCCGGCCCTGAGGGCGGGCGGACGGGGCAGTCGCCCTGGGCCCCCAGTTCCCTGGGGCCCCATCCCAGGTATATATACCGTATATTGCGTGGTTAAGAGGCTAAGAGCTTTAAGCAGCGAATAGTTTCCGTCGTTGCTACCTGCAGGTATGCTGCCTCTCGCTGCAACTGCAACAACCTGACGATTCTCATGCGAGCTATTTTTGTGAAGTCGTTTGGTTACTGCAGATAAGCGCGGTGGGTCCTGAGCTCCAACATATAATTTAGGCTCAGTTATTATATATATAATATTAATTTGCTAGCTTCCTTCACTATCTTCTTGCATCTTCAAAGCGCACATGATTATGCATGCACCCATACAGTAAAATCTTAACCTGCTTCTTTTATTTCTTTTTTAAATATTTTGTACAAAATCTAGTCAAACGGAAAAAATAAAAAAATGAGTATGAGTAGATGAATTAATACAATCACACATAGAGATTTATAAAGAAGTTTTTTAAGAGTAATGCAAGCGCTTCAAGAGATCCAAACAAGATGGTGATATGGTTGTCAAGGAACCAGAGTATACCATCATTATAGTGATAGAAAATTTGAAGGTATTTATATATATATATATATATATATATATATATATATATATATATATATATATATATATATATATATATATATATATATATATGTATGTATGTATGTATGTATGTATTGTTTCTTTGAATATCACTTTTGTATATGTAGCTAAGCGTTTATCATTAACTATTTTATACATATAAGTGTTTAAGCATCTGTATATAAGGGGCCCCTAGATTTTGGTTTTGCTCCGGGCCCCTAAAAACTCAGGGCCGGCCCTGACTCGAACCTGTTGTTGGTCGTACCACCTAAACAGTGAGTTAGGCTCGCTTCCTTTTAAATTGTAGATCATATTGCAGATTTACAGATCAAGCTGAGTGGAAAACAGAGTGCTGTACTTCAGTATCATATAAGGTGGGAAAAAACACTGTAATGTGCGCGCAGAAGTGCAGAACCACATGCGGACTGGACTGAGTGGACGTACATCTTTCAAATAAAAAAACAGTGGACGTACGATAATTACTACTAGAACCCGAAATAAAAAGAAGACAATGCATGAAACCGTCCAATTCGTGCATGGCCTTCTCTGACACAACTTCTCCATGGAAAAAAAAGGTGATACCTAAAGGTATTAGTAGTGCACCTCTTAAAAACAAAACTTTAAAAGCTACGACTGCAGAAACTATCATTTTCAGAAGCTGTTTGTTTACACGGAAGAACAGTCAAGTAGAATCATAAAATCCCTGGTCAACTGGACTTGACAAGCTCCAACAACAAAGGTCATGTTCAGTGGCTAAAAGGAAAACACAAATGGGCTTCATTGATTCACTTTATGTCCCTCCGCTATGCCAGTAATGTTGATGCAATGTCACAGGTTGGGCCATGTAAAACTAGAGTACAAGCATCTTCAGACTACCAACACTCATCATCCTCACTTCTCAGGCTCCTGCAACATGTTGCATTGAGATACAATGCTGTGGAAATCCTCGAGGTTTATCTGTGGAGCAGCAAAATCAAGATGTAAGAAAACAGGGGAGAAAGTATAGTGGAATTGGAGGTTGAAAAGAAACCTTATATTTCTAGTGCTTGTTCAACATTGGCAATCATGAACAGATATCTATAAAGAAGAATTTCCAGAATAGGAATCAGTAGTACACATCCACAATGCTAACTAATGTCTGATTAAGTTAAAAGAGATTGATATCCATTGAATTGCAGATTCAGCGGGTTCATGGTGATCCAGGGTGTTTTCAAACATACAAATCAACTTGCTTTGGTAGGACGAGGAAACAAAATTGTTAGTTCTGGTTCATTTTCAGGTGCTAGTGAATGCTTAGCAAATCACATGAACCAGACTGGTTGTACCTTTTCAAGTGGGTTCCAAATAAAACATTGATACTTAAACTTGAATGGAAATCAAAGACAAACCTTTCCATCACCGTCACTATCAAAGCAACGGATCATCTTAGATATCTCAGAATTTGTCCAGATGAAATCATTTATTGTAGCCATTCTTTCAAGATCCCATGGCGTAATATATCCTTTACCAACTTCTGTGAAACAAAATATGAACAAATCGGTACTGTTTGCATAAGTAATATACCAAGAACAATATTTACAGAGCATGCAGTAAGTATAAGCAATAAGTGTATCAATCTTTTTTTTTTAATAAAAGTGGATCAATCATTCGTTTGCTCTTTAGATAACTATATCCATTTCCCTCAGAACAAATACCCAGAGAGGCTAGTAATTTCAGTTTGACGAATGATATACATACAGTACTACTTTACTAACACAAGTGCTATCATTTCTTGGCAGATATTGCACAATAAATGGATTGTAGACCAAAGTAAGCTCGCAAATGTTCCTACCAGCTTCTGCAGAAATTAAATTGTGAGCAACCAATGAAGCGAAAGGTGTATCAGTTATTCCTTATTTCCTTTCAAGTCTGTGTGCACCAACATATTACGATAACGGCATGGTCCTTCTCTAGAAGCAAGACTAGCATACATGCTAGTTTTAAGTTTGGTTTAAACTTCTATCTTGCATCTAAACCTAAAGCCAATCCATAAGCAGATGAGAATTGGGAGGGGGGTGAGGGGCTAATTCTATGAGCTGCAAACAAGTATGAGATGGTCAAACTAGACTAAAAAACATCCACACCAAAGTAGATTCAAACGAAAATTGATTCAAACCAAGTTACTTTGAGTTCATTACATTTCATGAAAATACTATTCATTGCACTTAACAAGATCCTGGAATAATGATCAATATTCAACGCATTTGATGGGTCAGACATGTAGAAAATGAATTTTGGTGTCAGATAAGAGTACCGTCGAATGAGAAGAAGAATGCAACCACATCATCTTCTGTCAGCTGAATCCTGCTCTTACCCTTGGGGAAAAAACGAGTGTAAAAAACATACATGGCACAGGTGAAACTGATACAAGTCAAGCTTGAAGGTACGTACCAGCTTTTTAATCTTCTTGTTCTTAGCTGAGTCCTGAACGGATGCTTTGCTCTTGTTTTTGTGTGGAGTACTTTCACTCGCTCCTGTTACTGTGCTCGATGTTTCTGCACCCACTGCAGTTGAAGGCTTTTCTGAATATTCCGCCAGGGAGAGAGCAATTGCCTGTATATTATAGCATTGTTAAAGTGCTAACTAAAGCATATAATGAAAACTTAGCAGAAACGTTTAGGATTTGAGCGCCATTCTAGGGTCAATATTGCTCTTGTAGTGTATTCGTGGTTATCACAATACCTGCAGTAAGGCTGTATCATCATCCACCACATCAGCAAAAGAAGCACTACCCTTAGCAGGCGTGCTCTTTGTAGATTTACCAGATTTTGACAATTTCTTTTTCTTTCCCTGAAACAAAATGTGAGAACAATTATACAACACATCTGTGGTATAATAGCAGCTACCAAATCGTACCCTTTCATTAGTGGATCTTAAACCCCCATTGTGCAGAAAAAATAACCATTTATGAAGGCGACGCCTAGACGGCTAGACGCCATCGATGAATGAGGATGAGTGGATGACATAGAACTGAGGAAAGGGGAAGCCCCGCACCTTGGCACGTGACCTAGAAGCTGATTTCCCCGCTCCCTCCACCTCTTCGTCTTGCGCGCTCTCCGACGAGCTCTCGTTGTCCTCCTCACCGCCGCCGTTATCAGACGGGACGTACTCCTCGTCCTCGTCGGCGGACCGCTTCTTCTGCTTCCCCTTGGCCGCCCCCGGCGACGGGCTGCGGAGGAGAGGAGACGCTGCGAGGGTGCGGAGGCCCAGGGCCTCGAGTCGTGCCTCGTTCTCGCGTATCCGTGACAGCCGCTGCTTCTCGTACTCGGTCAGCTGTTCGTCGGTTTCTCTTCCCGCCGCCATGGCGACGCGGCGGCAAAAGGTCCTCTCCTTCCCTTACCCACGCTTATTATATTCTCATAAAAAAAAAAAGTTCACTCCCAGAGTCCCCGTTGCGGCCGATCTGTGGGCTGTTTTCTGTAGGCCGTTGGAGATTTGGGCCCTACGGCCTCCGTGGTTCGTAGGCCGCATTCGTTTGGGCCTCCGATAAAATGGAAATATGCTCCCTCTGTATTTGAAAGGACAAAAAAAAAAAATCTGCTTCTTGTGCTGATCAAATCAAAATTTAAGTCATTTTGAATTCAGATTTCTATGCCACTTTTCTCTCTCCGGAAAGGGGGAGGAGGGAACCATTACAATGCAAACGGAGTAACAATGGGTCAACTATACAGTCTAGCGAGTGCAGCAAAACAAGCAAATGGCATCTAGGAGATGGCCAGCTCCGCTTCGGCCCAGGCCAGAGACGAATTCCTGAGCATGGTGGCCGCCGACGCCTCGATGCCTTCCTCCAGGATGGCCGCGATCATGCTCATGGACGGCCGCCGCGACGGCTCCAGGTCGATGCACAGGTTCACCACGTTGCAGACGATGCCCAGGCTCTCCTGGTTCACGCTCTGCAGCCTCGGGTCCACCAGCTTGCTGAACTCCTCGGGCTGCTCCAGGTGCTTTCTTGCCTGCACGCAACACGTCCAGTCGTTATCAGTGATCTCACAGATACAGGTAGCCTGACGCCACTCATGCCTGAGGCAGTTTAGCTGTAGCATATGAGCAGGATTGGCCGCTTGAGTCAAGAAGAGTCAGCAGTTACCCAATCCACTAAGCCCCCTGTATCTTTGGAAACCGAGGCTCTGCCACTGATCAGCTCCAGCAGGATCACGCCGAACGCATACGTGTTGGCCTGGACGTCCATGAAGCACTTATGCCGAGAATCTGTAATGCTGTTGACTGACCCGCCATTCAGTGAGGCAAATCCTGGTTTGGTCGCGAGATATCTCCACCTCTCGAAATCAATTATCTGCAAAACCACATTCAGTTGCAGTTGTTATCTGAACTGAACTAAGACTGGAACCTCATGCTCAGGAATCAGGATGCTATGCTACCAGCTACTAATGCTCTTGATTTAGCAGTGTGTCTAGGAGTGCATATATACAACACAGACCTTTGGGGAGAAGTCTTCGGTTAGGTAAACTGAACTAGACGTCAGTGCAGCAACTGCAAATGGAGGTTTGCAGCTCAATGTGCAAGTATCTGAGAACCCGCCAGACGGCGAGTCCTAATTTCATCCGTCTAGGCCAAGATAGCTGCCACCCATCTCCATCTGCAAACAGATAACGCATCGAGTTCACGCCACCATACATGGAGGCATGGAGCAAGGCAAGAGCCTGTTGACTTACCGTGCAGATGCTCGTAGAGTGTCCCATTTGGTGGATACTGAAAGACTAGCATTCTTGAAAATGGATCAGACTCCTTGCAGTATCCCACCATCTTCGCAACGTTTTCATGGCTCAGTCTTGACATTTCTATCACCTGAATATTTCGAGCACATTATGAGATACGATTATATAGCAGTAAAAAATCTTGATGTGGGTTTAGTTGGTTGGCACTCTTCTCCTTCTGAAAGTAAAGTTCCACATAGTCATTCCAGTAGTGCACCGGAACAGTCAGCGACACAACAGCGATTTCCCGGCCATCCTTCAGAGTTCCCTTGTACACAACTGTCTCCTGAGACGATCCAATTATGTTGCTGAAGTCTTCGCAAGCCTCTGCCAGCTCCTGTCGGCTTATCTTTGGCACATTTACCAGGAGGTCATCATCTACAGAAGCAACAACTGGTAATCAACACAATTTCTTCTTTATCAATATAGCTTGTCTGGGAAAAAGAAGACAAAACACTGCAGCGACTGGTTGTGCGAGAGAGAAATACTGTAGCGACCAGAAGATGCACTGTAGCATGTGAGGAGAAGCAGCCGGCTGGTCTGAAATTTTCAGACCAGCGAACGCGCCCATAATAGGCAGCTCTCGTGCCTGTTCATTTTATTTTGAAGGCAACCCGTAATCAACACAGTGTAAAGTTCAGTTCTGTCAGTAACTCAACAAAAGCAGGCACTGACCTATTGAGATTACAGTGTTCTCCTTCCAGCTTACAGCTCTTGTCCATGGAACACTGGTCCCGATCCAGAGGATCTAGCTCTGCACCTTCGGAGGCCAGTCATAGTACAAAGTGTTAACAAACAAAGCAATGAAACTGCTGCGATGACTTCCAGAATGAATAGCCAAAGTGGTTCTGGCAAGCCTTTCTGCACATTCTCATCAGCACCATTGTCTTTGCCTCTGTCCTGATTAGTTTCACCTGTAATTATGTAGTGCACTTGCTCACTGTTCAGAAAAGCAAATTACAGTAACATTGGGAACGTTCTAGTTTGACAGTATATAGACCGGTATTGTGTTGCTCAGATGTAACAAGCATGAAAACGCACAAAATCAGTTTGAGCATCCTTAAAAACCAAGGTGGGGCTATTAACATGAACCAAAACAAAAGGAGCCTTAAATAACGAAGCACAGAAGGACAAAAGGAAGAATGTGGGAAATCGGATCCAACAAGGAAGCAAACAAAGTGTCAAGTTCAGGCTTTTATTTTAACAACCATAGCCACGGTTACATTATCCCAGGTCCCAAATCATCCGTAACCTAGTGATCCGAAACTGACAACGCAATGTGACTAGGGTTACTTTTCTTCTGTTAAGTGTCAGATAAATTTTAACAGGCTATAGTTAGGTTTCCAACATTGCACTATGTCCTCGAGCCCAGAAATGCACCCCAATTTCATCTTCTAGGGATGAACAACGGGTTGGACTTCTTTACTCAGACTAGCCTAATGTGGTAGTTGACAGGATATGTAGTCTAGTAACTTCCTTAAAAAAATGCAGTTTATTAAATACTAGGATTTCTTTACCAATATGTTATTGATAAAGTATTTTTTGTGAAATTTTCATTTTGCTCCGCAAGAGGATTTTCACCGGGAACTGTTAATTGTATCTTGCAACCAGTGATGAATATGCTCTTGTCAAATAACGAAGGAAAAGGGTGTCAAACAGCCCAAAAAGAGGAACAAATTGTATTAATGACTATAATATGTCAAAAGTTGAAATATAAAATATCACCATACATTGCTGCGGTGGACGGTTTGATGTGTTGTTCTGGAAGCAATTCCCTACCAAGCTTGATCTGTTCAAATACTGTAAAACAAGTTCAGGAAGACAACTGAAACATTTAAGCCACAAAAGGCGAAGGTGTACCTTTGGATTTGCTGTAAGCATGTGGGAATATCTCCAACCAAAAAGTTATACGAGAGATCAACATTGGTTAGCTGAGATAGCTGACACAATCCAATTTGATCATTGCTGTTGGCAGATTCCCTGAAAGAAGTATTACAGGTACAACTGGTTGTTCATATGCCATACCAATTGATGTCTGAATAGAAGAGTACTGTCAAGGTTCTGGAGTTCACAGTTTGATCATTGTTTAATATCTCCTCAGCTTGTCTCCATACAGTTAATTAAATTCAAACAGTTACTGAAAACAACCTTTGGGGTTTTGAAGACACTGAAACCCAGTTACTTACATGTCGGAATCATTACTTGCAGGAATAATGCCAGTAAGGCTGTTATTGATAGTTTATTAGAATCACCTAGTTGCAGATCTAGCGGGTGTATACTTGAATTTAGAACATGGTAAACCCTAGAACACAAACTAGTACTAGGAAAACAGAGAGAGAGAGAGAGAGGGATGCGGGGTGGCAAACCATCGGCCGCATTCGAGGAAGACGAGCTGGCCATCGCATCGGTGGAGGCACGGTCGTAGGGTGGCGGTGCAGAGGCGGCGATGCAGAGGCGACGGTGCAGTGGCGGCGGAGGCCGGTGGTGGTGCTTCTCGTCGCTGGTAGCGCCCCCTCTCTAGATCGGCTAGGGTTGGGATGTAGGTGGGGTTGTGACGGCGCAGGTGAGCCTCGTGCCTTGTGCCCCGGCCCCCACCTCCCTTTTTATGGCGCTGTGCGACGGGGGCACCAACCATGGAGCAGTTGGGCACCCCAGATCAGGGCGCGGATCCAAGAGCCCAACTGGGCCAATTGATGGAGATCGATCTAACATTGTCCCCCCTTGATCTCACCTTATGACATAAATTCAACTTACTTTATCTTATTTCCATTCCATCACAGATCAGTGCATAGAGCGTGCCTTATCATCACGGTCTGTTGCCATTAGATTAAACAGCTACAATGCACCTCTCTATTTTGAAACAGATTCTCAACTAGGTCCTCATTGTCTAGGAATCATAGGCTTTCCCTTAAACCCATGCCGGCTAAGTGTTCTCTAAATACACTGGGTGGTAAGCTTTTTGTAAGCGGATCCACGGACATCTTTTCTGTTCTTATATGCTCAAGACTAATTATATGATCCCAGACTTTGTCTTTCACAACATAATACTTTATGTCAATGTGTTTGGCAGCACCACTTGACTTATTGTTGTGAGCATAATATACTGTTGGATTATTATCGCACTATAACTTGAGTGGTTTATGTATGTCGTCTACCAATTTTAACTCGGGCATGAATTTCTTCAGCCAATTAACCTGCCCTGTGGCCTCATAACATGCTACAAACTCGGCATATATTGTGGACAATGTAGTGACGGTTTGCTTTGAGCTTTTCCACAATATAGCTCCTCCTGTGAGAGTGAATATGTATCCTAACGTGGACTTTCTGTCATCTCCCGCATAATCAGAATCTGTATACCCCTCTATGTGTAGGGAATCAGATCTTCTGTACGTTAGCATGAGACCCTTTGTACCTTGCAGGTAACACAAAACTTTATTTACTAATTTCCAGTGTTCTATTCTTGGATTACTCTGATATCTGTCGAGTAACCCGGTAACAAATGCTAAGTCAGGGCGAGTACACACTTGAGCATACTGTAAACTTCCGGCAGCTGAACTATATGGAACTGCTTTCATTTGATCGATCTCATATTGGTTCCTGGAACATTGAAATTCCCCATATCTATCACCCTTGACAATGGGAGCAGGCGAAGACTTACAATTTTGCATACTGTATTTCCTTAGAACTTTTTCTAAGTATGACTTTTGTGATAATCCTAAAACCCCTTTTCTCTATCTTGGTGAATCTTTATTCCTAGGACGAACGAAGCTTCACCGAGATCCTTCATATCAAACTTTGAGGACAAAAACTTCTTTGTTTCTAGTAGTAGATTAACATCACTGCTAGCGAGCAAGATGTCATCCACATACAAGACTAGGAAAATATATTTTCCATTCTTGAACTTTGCATAAACGCAATTGTCCTCTACATTTTTTTGAAACCCAAACTTTCTTATTGTACTATCAAACTTCAAATACCACTGTTTTGAAGCTTGTTTTAATCCGTAAATGAATTTCTTCAGCGGCATCCCATACGTTCTTTTCCTTCCACAACAAAACCTTTCGGTTGTGCCATATAAATATTTTCCTCCAGATCATCCTCCAAGAACACAGCATGTCTTGTTTCTACAAACTTCGTTTGTCTGTCAGGACAATAGAAGCGATAATCTTTTGACTTTTCTGGATAGTTGTGGCAGAACTGCTCGGAATAGCACACCTTCGAAGGCGCTCATCTTCCACTAGACACTAAACACCCCGAAAGCAAGCTACATCGGACGGTTCTGTCGAGCACACCTCGAGGGAGAACTCGAACAATCCACGTTTTCACCCAGGATCCAATAATGAGAACGAGTTTACATCACTTAGTCCATTTCATACAACAATAGTTCTCAAAAATACATTATTACAATACCAAGTTCAAAGTGTGGAATTTAAACAGCGGAATTAAAATAATCGTCTAGCGATAAGATATAAGGATCCGTCTGTGCCCACCAGAAGAATCATCCACACAACAATCATTCCTCAAGCTGCACCTGCAACAGGGGTAAATAAACCCTAAGTACACAATATACTCGCAAGATTTACCCGACTAGTGGGAATAATTTCCCGACTTCAAAGGATATGATAAGCTTTATGATTTGCTAGGTTTCCTTTACCAAAAAATATTACTAATAATGAATCCTTATGTATCTGTTTTATTAGCAGTCATGATTAATTCATTAGCTAACTATTCTAGGTAAGCACCTGTTCTATTTTCAAGAAAGAGTTGAGCAATCAGATCCATTTTACCACCTTTCATCTTCTAGTTCTTACTACGGTGCTAGATCGTAGACAAGTCGTACCGTATTACACGGCGATTCGCGAATCAATGTAGCCTAGCTGGGTACCCCGAAACACATGCCTCGCTTGTACCCTAGGCACAAGCAGGACCAACCCACCACTCTCCTGTCAAGGGGTCCAGGTCCCCGTCCAAACTTGGACTCTAAGCCCCCACACCTAAGTTCCGTACTCAGTGTGGTGCTTAGACCTCCACCATCCCCGCCTCCAATAAGTCGGTCCGGAAAGAGCTAGAACCCACGACAAGAGAGCAACGAGCCTTCCCTACTCCCATAAACAAGTATGTGCTCAGGATAATAAGTCTGTGACCTGACTAGAATCCAATGCAATGGCCGGTCCTTAACCGACATGGACAGGGAAAACAGTGTAACCAAGCTATGCCCTGTTGGCCGCGGGACACAATCTCTTACACCCACCAATACCCGTATCATATCCCTGCCCGGTCTCCATTTCATTTCACCATTTCATCGTGAGGGTGATAATAATAATCACCTATTGTGAGTAACGGCAGGTTACTCACGCTACCGATAGTCTAAGCATAGCAGCTACTCGACCTATGCTAGTAGGACTCCTGGGTAGGTATATCTATGCATGTAGTTTCAATATAAATTCTATAATGTAAATGCACATCACATATATATATATATCCAATGATCATTCAAAATAAGGTTTATGCACCGGGGCTTGCCTTGGGCAGGCGCGGTGTCAGCTCAGTCAGTCAGTGGCGGCTCCAGAACCTCCTCCTACATGAGGACCTCCTCCTCATACTCCTCGATCACCTCCTCGAACTTGTGATCTTCGATGGTCACGATCTCTGCCAACTCGTTCTCTACATGCATGCGGTGATGATGCAACACTTAGCATTTCGGCAACAACTCTTAAAATAA